TGCTTGCCCCTGGCCATGGAAGTGAAGGGCAAGCAGTCCCTCGCAAGGCCCGCACAGAGAGCAGACACCAGGTCCTGCAGTGGCATCAAGCAGGCAGGTCCGCAGAGAGCAGAGAACCATGGGAGTGGGCGTAAGCCATCAGTAGGACATCCCCTGAGGGGTCCCAGATTGGAGAGGGTGCAGGCCGGGCTGAGGGAACCCCCCCTTGCACAAATTTCGTGCACTGGGCCCCTAGTAATAATCTGGAGTTGGGGGAATCTCACACCGAAGGGAACACAGACGTCAGCGCTGTGTGTGCGAGAATTGCCTGAACTGCTTCTGAGTTTGGGGACCTTCCGTCAGCACAGTGACAGCCAGCGGGGTTCCTGTGCCTGAAACGGAGACCCCACATGACCGTCCCCTTTGAAAACCCCAAAGTTCATGTTTTGTTTCCCTCGTGCCGACGCCTTTGAAAAAGAGGCATCCCCAAGCTTCCTACTTATTTTTTCTAAAACCATGTTAATTTCTTGTTTATTTCAGGCCTTACTAGAGACTCAAACCTTACTGCGCACTCAGGTTGCCAATTTTACCTTCAACCTTGGATTTTCAGGGAAGTTTTACCACACAGGTAAGAGGGGGCGTGGCTGCCGGCACCCGCTCACACGGGGGAGAGCGATGGTCAGTGTCAGAAGTGGGCGGACAGATGGACGGATGGACGATCCGGACCGATTCCGGGGGAGACGGGAGCGTGAGAGCTGGGCAGCTGAGCCCAGCATCATTGTGCTGCTTCGCTGCGGCAAAGACGTCTAGCGTCCAGGGCCAGAGAGAGAGAGAAGGGACTTCCTCGAACCAGTAGAGGAGCCCTCTCTGCTGGGGGTGACTGCGTCTGGCGGGCGGGGCAGCGGAGGCAGAAGGCACAGTGACCGGGACGGTGGGGGGTGTCACAGAAAGGGTAATCACAGGGGACACTGTTCTTAAACTGTCAGGTAGTCGAGGTCACAGTTTTGTGAATCATTTCCCTTTGGGAAACGCTCGATAGTGAGTGATTGTGTAGCCTCAATGCTATTTGGTCAATTGGAACGGGCATCCTTTCTAATTCCCTCCCCCTTCCTTTAGTTTGTAAAGTAAGAGCTAAAGCTTTAAACTCGATGGTTATGCCTTTAAAATGATGGGGGGCGCAAACAATAAAACAGTCAATTGCAGCTCAAGCAAAAGCCACCCTCCTGTTTCTTAGCAACAAATACAGGGCTTGTCTCTGCCTAGTGACTGGAAACAGGTCCGCGGCGATGCCATCGCTCATTCGGCCCCACGTGCCTCCTGACCACTACACCATCCAGCCACGGCCGCAGCCACGGCCACGGTGGTCCTGGGCGCTCAGGTCTCAGCCGCCCCCCAGGGTCTCAGGAGGTGATGATGCGTCTCCCCTCTGCCCGCTTCACCTCGGAAATGGGCACATATGGTCTGAACATCAGCGTTGACACCTGTAACATCGCAGAGAGCAGCGGTTCTCAGCCTGTGGGTAGCGACCCCTTTGGGGGTCAAACGACCCTTTCACAGGGGTCGCCTAAGACCATCGGAAAACACATAGATAATTACATATTGTTTTTGTGATTAATCACTATGCTTTAATGATGTTCAATTTGTAGCAATGAAATTGGGGGTCACCACAACATGAGGAGCTGTATTAAAGGGTCGCGGCCTTAGGAAGGTTGAGAACCACTGGCACAGAGAAAGCGGGCGCAGAAAAGCCACTATCTCATCATAGGGACAGAAGCAGCCCGGTGGTGTGTCCCAGCCTGTCTCAGGGGAGCCCCTGCTGTCCGCCGCTCTCGGCACCCCAGGGGCTGGGGGGACCCCATCTTCCCGGACTCCCTGCAACATGTGCCTCCATGGGGTTGCCCATGGTGCCTGCCACTTGCTGTCACGTTAAAATATCCCAGGCAAAGGCGTCTTTAAGTCACAACCGCAGCTTCTCTACCCAAAGCAGCCTTACCTGTGTCCCCGGAGAGCCCCCGTGATTTATCGGGGTACGGAGGTGGCGACGCCTCACTGGCTTTTCTTTAACGCCCGTTCCCTCCTGCTTTGGAACACACCCTCTGTGCCCAGGGCTGGAGGAAGCGGGTGCTTAGAGCAGCTGATGAACCCGGTGATGGTTCAAGTTCAGGGGTGTTTTGCAGAGAGCGAGTTGGGGTGTCGTATGTCCATGCAGGAAAAGGACCCCAGCTCCCCGCTGGGAAAACAGACGTGGTTTCCTGAACCTTCTCCAGAGTCCCCAGGAGCCGCGTCCGCCCACGGAGCTCTGGCTGCGCAGGCGGAAAGCCCGCGGGTCTGCAGGCCGCCTCCACTCGCGGGCGGGAAACGGGGAGGATTTCAGCGCGCACAGCCACGCTCTTCTGTCTTCAGGGCCGGAGCCTGCAGGCGAGGCCGCTCTTTGGGCTGGAATGTCTGGATCGGAGCCGCTGCTGTCACTCCTTTTCCTATTCAGGCCCATTGAGCCCCGATGGCCCAGGCGTTAACGCCCATCGCGGCTCTCGCTCCTCGTTTCTCCTTTGTAGCTGGGACATGTCCCCTCCGGGGAGCCCACGGCACACGGTGCACGTCACACACAGGGACAGTTCCTCGAGGAAGAGACAGAAAAGACATCTCAGTTCTATCCCGTGAGCAGACCGCATCACCTCTGCGTGTGGGTGTTACCGACAACATGGAAGAAGCCTGCTCCGCGAAGCTGTGGGAGAGCGACAGATACACGTGTGCGCGTCCTTGAAGGTTACGTTCCTCCCGTCAGCATGACACAGTGCACCGTTACGTGTTTCCAGGGGCCCTTAAACCACACGGACTTCATACTCACCGGAGCCGCGTGAGGTGTGGGCGCTGTCCCACCGAGGGCACTCCCCTCCCGCCCCTTTCCCGCATGGCGCTGTGGCCGGGCCGTGCTGTGTGCCCAGGGGGAGGGGGCCTTGTCACAGGGCTGTCTCCGTCCTCCCCCGGCCAATGGGACTCCCCGATGCCCCGGGTGCTGAGTGCCAGGCCCTGTTGCTGGCGGACGTTTCATCGCGCCGCCCAGCGCAAGGAGGAGAGAGCCCACGTCTCCCAGGCTGCTTGTCTTATCATCGGTCCCCCGCGTCCTTTCCTGTTCCGTCCCCGTCCTTCCGGTGCTGAAAGCCGTCTCCCGCGACAGGGCACGTCGCCAGGCCCCCCTAGACCCGGGCCACTCACGGAGCCCTGCAGAAGCAGGAAGGACACCCCACCGGTTAAAAGGGGGGAGTAAAGAGCAGGGGGTTCGGAGGAAAGTGTTGGGTGTGGGAATGTTTAAGGCTGGATTGGAAGGGCCCGGTGGCGCTGGATGGAGAAGGGGAGACGCCGCAGTGGGAAGGGGGGGCTGCAGGGTTTCCGTGTGACACCGCTTCCGGGGTGATTGTTGCTGTTCTTCCTCCTTAATCCATCGGCGAGGATTGGTTAATGACTTCATGAATATGTGCAAATTGGGTTGATACGGGTCTTTTCCATTAGAGTTCATTTGACAAAAAAAAAATACCCCTTATATAAAGCTATTAACTTTCAAACGTGAAAGTAAAAACAAGAGTTAGTTACATTCCTCCTCCTCTGTGTTTGCTTTTCTGTGTAAAGTATTGGCTCCAGGACCAGGCATGGGGAGCAGAGAGTTTTTGCTCCCATCCGGGCTCTGACTCACGGCCTGTGTGAACCGGGCAGGTCACTCACCCTCTCTGTGCCTCCGTGTCTGCACCTCCAGTCAGGAGGGGAGAGTGACAGCGTGCCCACCCGGCACTGAGCATGGCAGGTGGGGAGTGCCAGGAGAGGGTGTGTCAGCATGACTTTTTAAAGTATTCTTGTATGTCAGTCAAACATTACCCAAAGGGAACAGTGAATCATTCATGTCTCTATGCTGTTCATTAATCTTATCACAAAACTGTTGTTGTTATGTAGTATATTTTTTAATTTTTTTTTTAATCCTCACCTGAGGATATTTTTCCATTGATTTTTAGAGAGAGAGTGCAAGAGAGAGGGAAAGACAGAGAGAAATATCACTGTGAAGAAACACATTGATTGGTTGTCTCCTGCCTGTGCCCCAACCAGGGCCAGGGCCAGGGAGGAGCCTGCAACCAAGGTATGTGCCCTTGAGCAGAATCGAACCCGGGACCCTTCAGTCCCCAGGCCAATGATCTATCCACTGAGCCAAATCGGCTAGGGCCATTTGGTATAATATTAAAGTTAGTGTTTTCTGTACCCAACTATATGAAACCTTGCCAGGGTCAATGAAAAAAGGAAGCTAGAAACATCTTGTTAATATCTGGGAGTTACAGTATTCATGCGCAATGAGCAAATATGAGGAGGACATTTGTACCAAAGGGACAATGCAGACCCTAGAAGTTGCATCTTCTTTTAACGTTGCAGCGGTGCCTTCTGGGAATTACCCCACACCCCAGATTGGTCTGAAATGACTCTTACTTTGGCCGACTTGAAGAATTGGAGGAACGGACTATTATAGATCCTCCAAAAGTGGTAAAGAGAAGTGAATGTGTCAAGAGTTTACTTCTGACTTGAAGCACCTTTTATTTTCCGGGAAACCAACCAAGGAACTGGAACTGACTTTTTCCTGAGGACAAAGCGACCTGTTTCTCACTGATGACGATGTAGGCCTGCATCCGGGCCCGTGAGAAGGGAAAGGCTCGGTGGGACCAGACACCACTGGTCTGACACGCGTGTTAAGTAGGAGCTGTGTGGACTCGTGTGCTCGCCCGTGTCCCTGGGCACCAATGATGTGCACAGCGGCCTGCTGGCAGCGAAGGAAAATCCAGTGGCTTCGGTCACTTGGACTTGATAACGTCTGAGATTCCGCTCCACACAGGAAGTCCCTCAGCACCATGGCCTTGAGCTGTCTCTGTGGCAGGAGCTCGCCTCGGGCCTCTGAATTGTGGATGTGGATGAAGTGAGAGAAGGCTGATGGGAAGTTGCTCCACCAGGTGAAACAGAGGCTCCGCCCATGCCTCTCAGCCTCCTGGGCAGAGTTTATAAACTAACAACATCTCTACATAAAACTTATAGGGTGTAATATGGCAAAGTGTCTGCGTAGGTCAAAAGACAGAAAAACTGTGGGTGATGGAGATCCTGGGACAGTGACAGACAGGAGAACTGTGGGTGATGGACAGTCCTGGGAACAGTGACAGGAGAACTGTGGGTGATGGACATCCCGGGACAGTGACAGACAGGAGAACTGTGGGTGATGGAGATCGCAGGACAGTGACAGTCAGGAGAACTGTGGGTGATGGAGATCGCAGGACAGTGACAGTCAGGAGAACTGTGGGTGATGGAGATCGCAGGACAGTGACAGTCAGGAGAACTGTGGGTGATGGAGATCGCAGGACAGTGACAGTCAGGAGAACTGTGGGTGATGGAGATCGCAGGACAGTGACAGTCAGGAGAACTGTGGGTGATGGAGATCGCAGGACAGTGACAGTCAGGAGAACTGTGGGTGATGGAGATCGCAGGACAGTGACAGTCAGGAGAACTGTGGGTGATGGAGATCGCAGGACAGTGACAGTCAGGAGAACTGTGGGTGATGGAGATCGCAGGACAGTGACAGTCAGGAGAACTGTGGGTGATGGAGATCGCAGGACAGTGACAGTCAGGAGAACTGTGGGTGATGGAGATCGCAGGACAGTGACAGTCAGGAGAACTGTGGGTGATGGAGATCGCAGGACAGTGACAGTCAGGAGAACTGTGGGTGATGGAGATCGCAGGACAGTGACAGTCAGGAGAACTGTGGGTGATGGAGATCGCAGGACAGTGACAGTCAGGAGAACTGTGGGTGATGGAGATCGCAGGACAGTGACAGTCAGGAGAACTGTGGGTGATGGAGATCGCAGGACAGTGACAGTCAGGAGAACTGTGGGTGATGGAGATCGCAGGACAGTGACAGTCAGGAGAACTGTGGGTGATGGAGATCGCAGGACAGTGACAGTCAGGAGAACTGTGGGTGATGGAGATCGCAGGACAGTGACAGTCAGGAGAACTGTGGGTGATGGAGATCGCAGGACAGTGACAGTCAGGAGAACTGTGGGTGATGGAGATCGCAGGACAGTGACAGTCAGGAGAACTGTGGGTGATGGAGATCGCAGGACAGTGACAGTCAGGAGAACTGTGGGTGATGGAGATCGCAGGACAGTGACAGTCAGGAGAACTGTGGGTGATGGAGATCCTGGGACAGTGACAGACCGGAGAACTGTGGGTGATGGACACTGACAGACAGGAGAACTGTGGGCGACGGACAGTGACAGACAGGAGAACTGAGGGCGATGGACAGTCTCGGGAACAGTGATAGACAGGAGAACTGGGGGTGATGGACAGTGACAGACAGGAGAACTGAGGGCGATGGACAGTCTCGGGAACAGTGATAGACAGGAGAACTGTGGGTGATGGACATCCCGGGACAGTAACAGACAGGAGAACTGTGGGTGATGGACAATGACAGACAGGAGAACTGTGGGTGATGAACATCCCAGGATAGTGACAGACAGGAGAACTGTGGGTGATGGACATCCCGGGACAGTGACAGACAGGAGAACTGTGGACCAAGGACTGCCACAGGGGCCACCAAACCTACCCCACCTCATGCCAACCCAAACCTTTACGTCTGATGTAATGTAGACCATGAATTTTATTCTTTTTTATTAGAACAACTTGCACTTGGATTTATGTGTCTGTAGTGAGAAGAACAACAAAACTCTGACAAACATGACCTTTGAGCCGATGGGAAATTTCACCGACGCCTCTTTCACCGGGTGTCTTCCAGGGACCGAGGAGGAGGACGCGGGCGACGACCTGCTGCTCAGGTCGGTGGACGAGTTCTGGTGGTTCCCCCACATGTGGAGCCACATGCAGCCCCACCTCTTCCACAACGAGTCCTCGCTGGTGGAGCAGATGGCCCTCAACAAGGAGTTCGCCCTGGTGAGTGCGCCTGCTGCCGCGGCTGCTGGGCCGGGTGGCTGTCTCTCCGAGGACCACAGCATCACTGTACTGGGTTGAATCCAGCAGAAACCGCAGGAAACATCCGAGTGCGTCTCATGTGTTACGGGTACACGCTGCTTTGCGTTCTTTTGTTTCAGGCTGTGGGGTGTGTGTGTATGTGTGTGTGTGCGTGTGTGTGTGTGTTGGGCCGTGATGTGATATCTAATGTATTTGTAAAAGCAGGCCATTGTCAGAAAGCTCCCCTCTCCTGTTTCATGGAATGGTTCGTCGGCATCTGTGAAGAACAGTGGCACTTTCTCCATTGCATTCCTGGCTGTGCATTATAATTAGCCTCTAAAAGCAATGCTTTAGCCCTGGCTGGTGTTGCTCAGTGGGTAGAGCTACATCCCATGCACCTAAAGGTCCCTGGTTCGATTCCCAGTCAGGGCACATGCCTGGGTTGCAGGCTTGATCCCCAGTGGGGGGCGTGCAGGAGGCAGCCAATCACATCGATGCTTCCCTCTCACATCGATGCTTCTCTCTCTTCCTCTCTCTCCAAAAATCCATTTTAGAAAATCTTTAGAAGCATTGTTGCAGGTCCATAGCTGGTGGGAGGAGTCACTGGAGAGGTGGCTCTGACTGTGGTGCCCAGAGCTTAGCAGCTCCCCTTCCACCTGGCGGCCTTCCCACAACACACCTGCATCTCCGGCTCGGCCATCGGCAGACAGCACGCGTGTGTGTGTTTGCAACACCTTGTGAGACGATATGTGTCCCTGAAAAGAAAGGGCCAAAGTGAGAGGCAGCGAGCATTTATTGAGATGCAGAGGGAATAGCTCTTGTGTAAGCTCTGAATCGGGCAGATGCCTAAACAGGGTTCCCATGGCGACGAAGGTGAGGGGTGGTTGAGAAAGGGAAGGGGCTCAGTTACATCAGCATCGGTGCAGCAATGCTGACACATGGAGCTCCGTCTAAGGCCCCCCTTAAGTGGTCATTCCGGGTGCGATTCTCAGTCCGGTTGTCATGTCAACCATGGTCATTGGTGTCAATTCAGCGCCGACAGGAATCCCCACTTTGGGGTGCGAGGGAAAAGGAGACTTCCTTTGGGGAAAACAGCCCAATGGCTACCGCTCGGCTGTGAGGACAGTGACCTGGGGCGGCCCTGGGCCAGGCCCTCGGGCGCGGCTGCTCTGCTCCCTGAGTTGTCATCTGGTTCGGCTCAGCCGGGGCGGCTGGTCAGCGCTGGGTGGAAGGGAAAGGGGCTCCCAAAGCCAGAGGGAAAGTGACTTCCTGGACAGAACCCCCACCCCTGGCCCCTGATTGGTTCATTCTCATGCAAATGAGGGCTCCAAGTCCTCAAAGTGTGATTGGTCCAAAAGGCACTGTCCTGATGGATCAGGGTAGAGCCACACTGGTTGGTCAGAGCTGCTCAGCTCTGATTGGATGGGGAGAGCCTCAGTCCTATTGGTTGAAGTGGACCCAGGAAGAACTTCCTAAGGGCTGGGCAGATGCAGGGCCAGGCAGGCAGGCGGGCAGTGCAGACCGTGGTCCCGGGCCGGCTGCTCCCCGAAGGGCAGGGTGCACAAGGGGTCCGTGTGTAAAAATGGCTGCCAGGCTCTGCTGCTGTATTTGAGCCTGTTAGCCACCGGGACCCCTTCTTTCTCGGGGCATCTTCTTTGTCGGGGTCCACAGTCATCTGTCCTGTAGTCATCATGTCTACTTTCTGATTACATTTGCAAAGGTCTCTGGGACTCAGGCTGCTTCGGGCCCCGTGCAGAGGTTATGTCCCCTGGTTTAGCACCAGGGGTTTGCGGCATAAGCCGCGCATGGCAGTCCCTTGGGCGTGGCAGCTCCGCACATTTTAAAGTGGCTCCTTGTACGCCACCACTGAGATGTGCCTACAGCTGGGACTGCAAGGGCTGCTGGCGCGGGCGGTGGCAGTCTGGGACCCCGGCCCGCCGGGCGCTCTGTGCTGTGCTCAGTGAGATAGACCTGTTCTTTGTTTTCTTTTTTAAATGATTGAAACACAGTCACAGGCCCAGCAAGGCTTTGTGACAGAGTCATGTCCAATCCGAATGTCAGTGTCCAGGACGAGTGCCGTGGACCCGGCCACACCCCTCTGTGGTA